AATTTCAGTGGAAAAAGTTTTCTGGAGCCAGATGAATGGTGATTCCAATGGGTATGAGAGAAAGGATGAAACATTTGCAAGAGCAGAGACGTTCCACTGGCCAAATTCCGTGAGATCTCAAAAGAGGTCAAGAGCGGTGGCATCACTTTCCAGTGACAGTTGTGCTATCACTATCCAATGATACTGTAAAAATACAATAAAATGAATTATGGTCCCCACTTAGGTGGATGTAAGCAGATATCCAGGCACACAGTATATTGCAAATATTCAACATATTTCAACAATATTATATGAAACATGGTGCAGAGCAACAATGTCATATTGTGGACAGTCTATCCTGCTTTCAATTTTTTATAGGTATTAGTCTAGAGACTTTGATTTTAAATAAACCATAGAAAATGAACCAGTGTAATTATACTTCAATGTAATGTGATGTCATGTATTGTTAATTTTGGGCATGTTTTATTTAAATTTATTTTTATATGTAAGCCGCCTTGATTGCCACGGCAAAAGGCAGGATATAAAAATAAAATATATTATTATTATTATTATTATTATTATTATTATTATTATTATTATTATTATTATTATTAATGTATTTACATCTTGCCTTTTTATGATTTTATATAGTTCCTGAAGAAGATCTTAACACTACAGTGGGCCCTTGGGATACACTGGGGTTTAGTTCCAAGACTCCTCATGGATACCAAAATCCATGGATGCTCAAATCCCATTAAATACAATGGCATAGCTGAATGGTGTCCTTTATATAAAATGACAAAATTAAGGTTTAATTGTTGGAATTTTAAAAATATATATATTTTCAAACTATGGATGATTGAATCTGTGGATAAAGAATCCATGGATACAGAAGGCCAACTCTTTACACAGACAGAAATGTCTGAAGGGATATAATTTAGAAGACAAGGCTAGCTTGTTTTCTGCTGCTTCAGAGACTAGAACGTGAACCAATGAACCTCTTGAGTGTAAGAACTGTTTGGCAGTGGAATAGAAGGTCCTTGCAGTCCCCTCCAATTCTGAGATTCTACAATTCTTACTATAATAAACCTTAATTTGTGAACTCATTGTCAACCCAACAACTTCAGTGAGACTATTGTCTCATCCCATGTATTGTCATTCAGACACAAAATATTGATGATATCAGCAACAATGGGAGATTTGGCGGAGGAAGAAACTACATTTCTTTCCCTCAGCAATGAGCCCCTAGCCTGTGAGAGGCCTGATGCAATTTCAATTGCTCCAGCAGAGCCATTAATAATCTGTCCCTGCCCTGGAGAAATCAGAATGAGGAAAGCAACTCTTCATTGACTTGCATCAGCTCTCCCAAATTGGATGAGGGTCTACTTTGGCTCTCCTTGGAGATGCCAAGACTTGACTCCAGATCCATTTCAGTCTGGTTTCAGACCAGTTTATGGGACATACACAAGTTTGGTTGCCCTGGTGGATGATCTACACAGGCAACTGGACAGGAAGAGTATGCCCCTGTTCGTTCTGCTGGACTTCTCAGCATGTTTTGATGCCATTAACCATGGTATCTTTCTGCGTCATTTCTCTGGGATGGGACTTTGTGTTTCTGTTCTTTCCTGCAGGGATACTCTCAGAGAGTGGTTCTGGGGGATTCCTGCTTGACTGTTTGCCCATTGCCCTGTGGAGTCCCTCACAGTTCAGTCTTGTCCCCTATGCTATTCAACATATTTATGGAACAGCTGGGAAAGGTTGTCTGGAGTTTTGGGGTCAGGTGCCACCAGTATCCTGATAATACCCAGCTCTATTTCCACCTAATTCCAAGGAAGCTGTTCCTGTGCTAAACCTGGCAGCTGTAATGGACTGGATGAGAGCAAACCTATTTCAGACAAGTCAGAGGTGCTCTTGGTCAGATGTAGGAATAGGGATTGGGCCTTTGTTATATGGGGTTACACTCTCCTTGAAAACACAGGTTCACAGTTTGGGGGTACTCCTGGATTCAGCCATGAGCACCAGAGGCCCAGGTATCAGCAGTGACCAGGAGTACTTTTACACAGTTGAAGCTAGTATGCCAAATGCAACTGTTCCTGGAGAAGTTGGATCTGGCCATGATGTTACATTCTCTGGTTATATTATTTGAATTATTGTTGAATTATTGTAATTCCTTCTAGGGCTGCCTTTGAAAAGTGCTCAAAAACTTTGGTTGGCCCAAAGAAGTAGGAGATAGGGAATTGCAGCCAACTTTCTCATTGGAGTTGTAAAAGAGAATAGAGGGAGCAAGTGGGTTGAGCCAGACTGCATAGAGAGCATAGCCAGACTTTTGAACTCACATAATTACACAATGATTGCACTATGCCACCCTTCTGTTGAATTTAGCAACTGACTATACATCTAATAACATGCCAGCTTATTGTCCCAGGGTGCAATGGGGAATGCACAACTCCTCACCAATTTGGGTGAGGATTTGAGAATTTACAGTTAAAAGGTAACTTTCCCAAGCTCTGCCAAAAGCAATGAATTACAGAAAATATTGCTCATTCTGATTATGTCTACTCTAAATAGCCTGTCCCTTGAACAGTATTCCTCTTACCTTCTGCAGCATTTCTGCGTTAAATTGCATTTTCCAATGGTCACAGTGCCACGAGGACATAAGAAGGAGTAGCAGTAGCCACGAGCTCTGTAACAGTTTCTGTGGCTCATGGCTGCTTCTGTGACCCCTATGGAAAGAAGAAATGAGGTGAGAGTTTTGAGTGTCATGATGCAAAGCAGGATGAAGGAAGGTTTGAGCAAAGAGATGGGTAACATCTATAGGGCAGTGGCGCCTGTTTGGATACTTCCTTCCTACATAGGAATGTTTTCTCTTGCAGATAGCTCCACACCTGAGTAGATCACCCTGCTGGAAGTAATGCTGACTAGCTAACAACTATGACAACAGCATTAGGATTTTCTGAGTCTCCAGACTGTTTTGCTCAGGATATAACAACATTTTCTTGGTTCATGCATAAACCACAGAAAGGTACAAGTAGCACCTCCATAAAGGTAACACAAAGAGGACATAAGCAAAACATGGGTCTACATTACCTATGGGATTGCCATCTACCATATAATCCACCACATACACTCAGATCCTGGGGGAGGGGGGCATTGACTTCAATCAGTCAGAACTAGACTGGCAATTCTCACCCAGAGGACATTTTGACATCTGCCACCCCTGGACTGTGGAATGACCTGCCAGGAGAGATTTGACAGCTAAACATGCTGTCTGAATTTACAACAGTATTCTATTAAAGACTTCTCTTTACTTGCAGGCCTACCCAATTGATTTTAAACAATTAATTTTAAATTGGAATATTTTAATTTCATGCTGGACAGTTTTAATGTGTTCTATGTTTATGTGTTTTAACTTAATGGGTTTAAATGGTTTTATGTGTTTTAATCTATGTTGTACCCTGTAAAAAATTCTTGTTGTTGTTGTTCTTTCCAAAAGCTGACACTGTGTTTAGTTTGTAGCTACGTATCTGTGTATTAAGTCAGTTGAGAAGCCAGGGGACTCTGGGATAAACACATTCAATCCCTTTCTCAGATTATTCATCTAGTGCCTTTTACAATTGCTTTGCAAATGCACAGTTTTAAACATAGAATATGAGACCCCAAGGATCATCCAATCCAGCCCCACATTAGCCATGAGCTTTGTAACTTCTTTTACATTATTTCATCCTCTAAACTAATATTTAGGTGTTCTTATTTCTTATACTTTGAATCTATTTGTTCTAGGATCAAGCTCACTCCACCCTCTATGTAACATCCCTTTAGATATTTAAAGATGGCTACTTTGTCACCTCTCAGTTTTTGCTTCACCCAGCAAAACTTATTCGACCCACTAAGTTGTTCCTCATAAGGCTTGGTTTCCAAACCTTTGATCATTTTGGTCACTCTTCTCTGGAACAGACTGAAACCCTTGCTAATCTACTGAAAAACACTGGGAGATGTATTCTGTGGGTATGTGCTTTCAAGTCACCTGTGAACTTACAGAATCATACAGTTGGAAAAGACCATAAGGGCCATTCAATCCAACCCCCTGCCATGCAGGAACTCAAAACCAAAACATCCCTGACAGATGGCCATCCAGCCTCTGTTTAAAGACCGCCAAAGAAGGAGACTCCACCACTCTCCAAGGGAGTGTGTGCCACTGTCAAACAGCTCTCGCTGTCAGGAAGTTCCTCTTAATATTGAGGTGGAATCTCTTTTCCTGTAGCTTGCATCCATTGTTCCGGGTCCTGTTCTCTGGAACAGCAGAAAACAAGCTAGCTCCATCCTCATTATGACATCCCTTCAAATATTTGAACAGGGCTACCATATCACATCTTAACCATCTTTTCTCCAGGCTAAACATACCCAGCTCCAGTCTCTCATAAGGCATGGTTTCCAGACCCTTCACCATTTTAGTCACCCTCCTTTGAACATGCTCTAGCTTCTCAACATCCTTGTTGAATTGTGGTGCCCAGAACTGGACACAATATTCCAGGTGGGGTCTGACCAAGGCAGAATAGAGTGGCACTATTACTTCCCTTGATCTAGACACTATATTTTTACTGATGCAACCTAGAATTGCATTGGCCTTCTCAACTGCCACATCACACTATTGATGCATGTTCAACCTGTGGTCTACTAGAACTCCTAGATCCGTTTCACACATAGTCTCATTAAGCCAGGTGTCCTATATCTATGCACTTCATTTTTTTTATTCTAAGTGCATTACCTTACATTTCTCCATAATGAAATTCATTTTGTTAGATTTGACCCAGCTTTCTAATCTATTATGATGATCCTATGAAAATTTCTTAGGGTTTTCTTAGGAAAGGGATACTCAGAAATGGTTTTGCAAGTTGCTTCCTCTGAGGGCGATGTATTAGCAGATCCCAATATACCTTCTCCTTATCACTACTATACCTTTTGCTTGAAGAAGTGTTCAAGGACTTGTTAAGTTGGGTTGCCTTCCCTTCCTTTTATCACATTCCAGTGTGGCATAGGGGTTTGAGTGTTGGACTACAACTCTTGAAACCAGGGCTCAATTCCCTGCTCTGCCATGAAACTCACTGGGTGATCTTGGGCAAGTCACATGCTCTCAGCCTCAGTGGAAGGCAATGGTGAACCCTCTCTGAACAAATCTTGCCAAGAAAACCCCATGATAGGGTCGCCATAAATCAGAAATGACTTGAAGGCACATAACACATATGCACACAGCAAAAAATTATCATGTCCATCAGGGTTTAAGGACTAACTAGATGAGTTTAGGTTTGCTGCACAACTGTAAAGCAGTGTTTGTATGTGTGTGTTTGGGAGAAGTAACTTTAGGTGGAAAAACTCTTGGCATGGGAAAGGTGCTGAACCCTTCATTTACTTGTAATGTCCTCCCTGAATTTCTGTGTACCACCTCCTTGGAAACCCGTATTTGGAAAAAGAAGAAATTTTAAAACTGATGGGACCTGTTCCCTTCTGATGCATTGGTCTGTCCCGCACACTACATTGTGTGACCTGACCTGAGATGCAATAGTTTTCAAGCAATTAGGGGGAAAATGTTTATTAAAAATTAAACAATATGTGCAGAGGTGGACCCCAGCAGTGGAGAGGAGAGCTCCAACCTTTTCATAAAATCATAGAACCACAGATTTGGAAGGGAGCACACAGCATTAGTCCAGTCCCCTGTCATGCAAAATACATAACTGAAATACTCCTAAGAGATCCTTCTCCAACCTCTGTTCAGAGACCTCCAGAGAAGAAGATTCCTTCACTCTCTGAAACAATCTATTCCATAGTCAGGTCTGTCCTTTGACTAGTGGGGGGATAATGCATAGAAATATTCATTTTCACCCCACAAATGGAAGAAATTTACTGTAATTGTTGGTCCTTGAACTAGACAATGATATTATTGAGGCCTGCATCCCTTGTGTCCTGAGCCAAAAACTAAAAACAAAATGCAGAGCAGGTAGCTATCTTTTCATAGGAAAACTTAAGGTTGCAAAGACTGTCAGATTTTTAATCATTATTTTGGTTGGCAGCATAATACATAATCTTCAAGATACAGTAGGGAAACAATTAAAAAATCCCTGCTGTGTGGGTGATGGAGATGGTAGTCTGGAGAAAAGATTACCCTGCTGCTGAGGTCTGATCTTCCTTACCTGGTAACTTATGAGTATCCTTTTATATTTATCAGATCCTTACCTGGTCCCTGCAGGAGTCCAAGAACAAGAATAGCACAGAGAAGATAAAGGAACTTCATTTCTCAGCTCTTTCCAGACCCAAGAGCACAAAGGACTATGTCTCTGAATTTATAATGCCATTATGATTGCACCATATTACTTGATATTACTGTAATCCATCATGTTGCTTTTAGCACTGTTGCTTCATATTGTAGTATTAACCATTTAATTACTACCGCTGCTTGCATGTAGAGGAGGGACTTAGAAGGAAATGTGCTAGAGGTAAATGTTTTGGATGACAAGTACTCCCAGTTCAGTACTTTCAGTTCCAGATGGGGTGGAGAAAGATCTCTGTTTGACCCACTGGTGAGCCGCAACCAGTTAGTGCAGAGAATACTGAGTTGGATAAGTCTCACTCTATAGGAGGGATCTCTGTATAGGGCAAGTTCCTAGGCTTCTTTCTGGGAAAGGGTCATAACTCAGTGGTAGGGGGCATGCTTTGCATTTCCAAAAGTTCTGAGTTCAGTCCTTGACATTTCCACATGCAATAGTTTCCAAAAGAGACAGCTGTATATCAGAACGAGTTGAACTCTCCCCCCTGACTGAGTGAAACAGACAGGCATAAAAAGCCAGCTTCATCTTGAGGACGTGGCATACAGACGATGAATGCCCCCTAGATGCCCAGAAGCTGGCTTCACACCACCCAGCTGCCCACACATGGGCCAGTTTCCAGGCATTCTGGCAGCATGGCATTTAAACACCGCACACCACCAGAGTGCCTTAAAGCCAGCTTCTGCCTGTGGCAGGCTTTTTGCCAACACAAAAAGGAGTGGCTGTTTGCTGGCAAAAAGGCAGATTGGGGCTGCAGCGTGCAGTTGCCGCATCCCCAGTCCGGCTCTGTCAGGGGAAGCTTCAAGCTGCCCCTTCGGGCAGTCTGTTTCACCAGTCTATAAGGCTTCTGTGGATGAGGAGCAAGTTTTATTACTAAGGGCCTTTGCAGACTGCTAGAAATAGTGCAAATTGAGGCCACTTTAACTGCCCTGGCTCAGTGCTAGGGAATCATGGGAATTGTATTTTTTTCTGAGGCATTGAGCCTTCTCTGTCAGAGAGCTCTAATGCCACAATAAACTACAGTTCCCATGATTCCCTAGCATTGAGTCAGGGCAGTTAAAGTGGACTCAATTTGCACTATTTCTGGCAGTCTGCAAAGGCCCTAAGTCCTTGAGATGCATCTAGTCTGGCATCTTGGACAAAACTGAAAAGTGTACATACATCAAACATAAGCCAACCAAAAGCATTAACTCCATCTTACAAAATTGCCAGATTCAATCATTTCACCATTCTCAAAACATTTGATTCTTCTTTGGTTGTTTTTCCTTCTTTCCCAGGCCATCTTTGCCTAGTTGTTTTAACCGTCACAGCAGTTAACAACAGAGGCCTTAACAAGCCAAAAAGGAAAAACACCGCTAGGCATTCCTTTACCAAACATTCAGCCAATTATTATTCAAACCCTCTCTCTAAGGCTATCTTAGACCGTGTAGTTAATATATTTAAAATATATGCAACCATTGCACATTTAGCCAGCTATATAACCATTAATCAACTAACAACATATGTTACCTGTATGTGTAACATATACAATTCATTCATTCATTTAACTTTTATTAGGCATACAAAGTGTAACGTATACAACAAATCTATATTCCCCCCTAAGATAATACAAACCAATTTTCAAACACAATATTGGTTAGTAGGAACAATACATCATATCATCATAAATCTATATCAATGTATAACTCTATATATCAAAAGCATACACATATCAACTAACTTAACTAAAGTCCTACACTAAGCATCAGATTACCAGGCTTGTATCAAATGCATATCAGTTAACATCCCTGATGTGAACCCTCCATTATACTCTTGTCTTCCCACAACATATTCATATAAAGCAAAACATCCAAGTGAGACATCATGTCATAATATCATACCTTCCAGTTGAAACCATATATGTTAGCATACCATACATCACAATTGGATCAAACACATGTTACCTAACAGCAACCCCCAGCATAATAATCGTGGCAGGGTTATCCAATCCTGACACTGTGCTAGTGCGTTTCAGCATAAAATGGAAATGGGAGCGGGATGGAGGAAGCCAGTAGCATCTTTGAGGCTAACTGGCTTATTTCAGCCTGACCTTTCATGGCTATCAATCCACTTCTTCTTCAAAAGCACTGATAGAGTTGGAAGTCCATTATTTGTGTGCCTCTGAAGAGGTGAATTGATATCCACATAAAATGGACTACCTTGGGGAGTCTACAAACAGGAACATAGGGATCTCCCCTATGCTGAGTTGGGCCATCTAGCTCTGCATTAGGCAACTTGTGGTTCTCCAGATGTAATGGGACTGCAACTCCCATCAGCCCCACATTTTGGGGGCATTTAATGCACACCAAGCTGTAACCCAAGCTTTAAAGGA